ATTTGGTGGGCTGGTTCTGGTCCATGAGCCTCATGTTTGATACCGCTGGTGTAAACAGCTTTTACAGATGTTTGAGTTTCAGGGCAAAACTTTTGTTGTCAGAAAATTTGACTTTCTTAGCTTAGAGCCAGTTAAATGTGAGACAGTGTATCAGTGAGACGCACAGGAGGATAAGAGATGACACATCTCACATCAAAGTCACAGTCAGAGAAGATCCACTTAAATCTGAGCGTGAATCCTGTTTATTCTATTAATCAGCTTCTATAATGGTTTTAATGTGACTGATGACTGATTAGTGATCGGTTTTGTTGTTGATCAGCTCTGAATCCAAACGTTTAACTTGCCGCTGTGTTATTACGCACATGTTTATGACCCCGCCCTCAGTTTGTTCTTCTTCCTTTAAAAGACACTTGAGCGCGCACTTGAAAACAAACGCACCCGTTTTCAGGCTCGGAAACTTTCAGGTTTATTGAAAAACTGGGATCTCCTGTTCTCGTGAAATCTCACAATCCTTTGGATAATTTAGCAAACTTTGAAAAGTAGGATCATCCGAACAATAAGACGGAAATGGCTGCTCGGACATCTGAGGTTCCCAGCTGCACTCACCCTCTTTGTCTGCAGGAGAGTTTGAACTAACGAGTTTGGATCATATTTATTCGATTTGTTAACTTGCGCGTAAGTGAACCATGTGACTTGCCAGCTCTCACTGCACATAAACAGTTAAGGATCATTTCCGCTCAGACTCTGGAGTAACTCTGGAGCGGGTTAAATCCATATTTTCTTTTATGTTTGCTGGCTCCAAAAAACAAAAAAATTCAGTCAGAGACGGTGTGAGGAGGTTAAAATACTTCTGCGCAGACTTTGTGCTTCTCACTGCGCGCGCTCAGATCAAAACTGGCCGTTTTGTTTTTGTCTTGTGCGCGTAACCGACCGTTTGAGCGTCTCCCACTTCACTTCATATAAAGTAAAGCTTCTAATTATACAAGGATAAATGCTGCGTTAGTGGTGCAAATGAGACTTAACATAATATTTGTCTTCTATTATTTACACAATTTCTCATTTTTTTCCAAACTGCAGTTTTATTTGAACAATAATATAAAATGTGACGGATTAAACTGATCAAGCAGAAGAAAAGAAGAAGAAAAGTCATTCCCGCAGCCACAGTCTCTGTGCTGCACTCTGCATTCGTCTGCAAACATCATAAAAGTCACTACTATAACTTTCATTACTTTATTCTTACTGTACTAAATGTTTCTCATATTGTGACTTGTGCTGCCATCTGCTGGTTAAAATAAGCACAAACTGTAACACTTCTCAGAAGTGCTCGGATTTCTTGTAAATGCTCATCTTGTTGCTAATGCTCAGTGCGCAAAGGTGGACTAGAAAAGCGCTATACAAATAAATACAGGCCTTTTTTTTTTTAACCATTTAGCGTCTGTGTAATATTTTGCCATCATGTGTTGATATAATTCAATAAAGAATGAGTTATCTATATTCATCTATGCTCTCTCTCTCCCTCTCTTACAAAATGAAAGTGAAGTGAAATCAACTCTGTTTTCAGTGCAGGTCAGGCTGCAGACTCTTCACTTCCCAGCCTGCAGTCACAGCAGTCACAGATGGAGTCCCTCATAGTCTTCCTGTTCGTGATTTCTTGCTCTATAGGTGAGTGAAAGAGAGTTTTTTTTTTAAAAAATATATATATTTTTAGGTAAGTATAAATATGTGTTTAACCGGTTAAATGTTGATTCCCATGTTGTGTTTGCAGGTTGAGCTCCTGTGTCTCTTTGTAGTCATTTTTTTCAGCATTTTTACAGCAGCATGTTTAATGATGTAACAGCTGATGTCAGATCCAGGGTTGGGGTGGAGGGATTTTAAAGTCCCATAGTTCACCTGAATCTGGCTGCTACAAGCTGCTTGTGTGTTGAGTCAGCAGCCACTTTGTGGTTTGTGTGTTCTTTGAATTGCTGCACGATGAGAACAGCAGCAGTCACTCTGGGACTCAAATGGACACCAGGAGATGTTACTTACACTGTTGGACAACCTTTCCCTTTTAAAGAGTGTTTAACGGTGTAACTTTGCATTTTTATCTTAACTTTTTTCAACTGGGGGGAGTGAAGGGAAATGCGAAGTGAAAGCAAAGTGAATCAATCCAAGACTTTCTCTTTTGTTTGGGAGTCTTTCAGTTCTCCTTTCACTTCTGCTTTGGGTTTAAAGGAAATGTCACATAGCTCCAATGTGAGACCTCCCAGCATTA